GCAGGAATTCCAACAATTCAATGCATCCATCTTACTGAAGGAAACCAGCATCTTTACATACTGTCGAATGTTAAAAACAAACAAAGATGTTTAAGCACAAAGGATATATTTATACCAAATAAAACAACTGAAAAAGTATTACATAAAGAAAAATAATGTAACAGAACGTACTTAAGTACCTAACTTACAGTCATGCTCATATCTAAAAGTAACATTGGTAACTAATATATATAATTTTTGACAAGGGTGCATTTAAGAGTTCTCTAACATATGACATTCTAAATGTGGAGAGTATTTTTTCAAAGATACAGAACACAAATTATTTTACACAGGCACACCTGTTAATTTGTATAAAAAACATGCTTGTAAGTGAAAAGGTCACTTTAGTACTAAATTTACCAGATGTGTGAAAACTACGTAGTATTAATCATGTTGAAATCGTCTCTTCTTCTTTTGCATTGGTGAGCGCCAACACTGAATGGTACGATATTTGATCCATATGGTTTACTGACACTGCAACCTGTTTCCAAGCAGTAGCCCTGCCCAGGTGTTGAACAGCACAGTACTGTACAGCCCCATCTGTCTGCATGTAGTGTATTTAGAACTAAAAGCTATTACAATTATTACAATGATTTCTGTTTCAATATATACATCAGTATAAAATACTACCCAAAACACTTTTGCATTTCAAACAATTTTAACCACTTCATCAAACAATGCATTTGCAGAATTAAAAAAAAAAATAATCCAAATTAAAGTTGATTGCCAACAGTACAGCATCTCTATGGTATGTTTCCTAATAAATGAGAGAACGGAAATGTATTAAAATCAATTAAAGTAAGTATCACAAAACATTAATTAATGTTAGAGCAGTTCAAGGATTCCCAGTTTGTCAGTATCTACCCTAAGTAGTGCTACCCAAATACAGTATAAGCCATTTAGTGTTTCTACAATGAGAAGAAAACATTCAAATATTAAAGCTGCGACAAACGCACAAAAGCAAGGAAAGAAAATTTGTTCTGTACTCATCCCTGCTGCAGCAAGGTACGGCATGTCAGGAGTTTGCACTCAGTGCATCGTACGGGCTATTATACCTGGATACAACTGTGGAAGACAAATGAAATGGAATCAACTCCGAATTTCCTTGCTGTTGTGGTTTTATGTCAGACCATTCAAGTTATAACAACTTAGTGTCTTTTTTTTTTTCCTGAAGGGAAAAAGAGAGAAAAATTCATAATGAAATTGTAGAAATGCTACTAAGAACCCTATCTTGGACACAATATACTGCTTTAGGAGCTACTGTGTCATTGCACAATATAAGTGGCCTATTAATCGCTGAATTATAGGTGTAGCAGAATATATTTGATATTGTGGATGTGTTTTGAAAATTGGTATTTTAAAACCTGCCTGTATCCCATAACAAGCCACAAACAATTTTGAGTATTTCAAACAGTAATACCCTTACGTGAAGTAGAAAATGTACATTTATAGTGGCTAATCTCAAACCTCTGCCTCTGCTGCTTCAGTTTTTTAAAATGAGACTTGGTTCAGAGTTTCCATTCGTTATCCTAAACCCAGAACATTTTCTGAAGCATAAAAAAAAGAATCTGAGTTATCATAATAACAAGGGGTGGGGTTCTTTTCTTTTGTTTTGCTAATTCATTCCTCACATGAAAAATAATCAATGACTTTAAAAAAACCACAAAACAAAACCCCCTCAAAAATCTCTCTCCAGGAGAAGTCCCCACTAGCTGAGATTTTGTTTTTCAAAACCAAGTTTCAAGCTTACAGTGTCCTTATAGTCATGTTATACACCCTTGGAAATAAAGGCTCATGTTGAGAATGACAGGCCCTTAATTATAGAGGTGTTAACTGGTGACACTATTTTTCACCAGAAAAAAACCAAAAGCCCCACAAAACTTCATAGCTTATACTGAAAGTTTGATTCATGCTCATTTTGTTCATTTAAAAATACTCTTTGGAAGCCGTGTCAACTCCTGCAGACAACTTAGTGATATATCTTTTCCTGTTAAAATAAAGATAATTCATATTCACCTCTACCCCATGCTAAGCTCTACGACTAATATACACTTCATTACCTGCTCATGTCACCATCTAACACATATCTTTACATTCTTCTACATATAGTGTCCAGGGCTTATTTTTCACCAAAAAGAATTTGTTAACTATTACACTTAGGAGTTTTTCTTGAGGATTTCTTTTTGCGTGTGTGTGTGTATGTTCTAGCCTTTTCATTGCAACTTAGAGTGATATTAATAAGTTAGCATGGAAAAAGTCTGAACTAAGAGAAACTTTTCACAGTTTTTTCCCATTAAGAATTTTAAAATCTAAACCCACTTAGATAACAAAACTGAAAACCAGAAGAGAGATTAGATGCATCTGTCATTTTAAAATGGTTCTGCTACTTTAAAATGCATTTAAAAATTGTATATATGACACTTAAAATTCTAACTTTTACATGGTTGCAATCAGATGCTAATTCAAAACTTTGTAAATAGACATGAAAAATAAGCCACTGGTCATGAATTCTAATGATTACATTCAAAGCTAGCCTTTAAAAAATAAAAAAGTTACAGGCAAAACATACTGGTTTATGTACTCACTAGCTTATCAGGCTACAATAGGCATGTTTTAAGTATAAAAAAAGCAGACAATTCAGAATTAAATAAGACTATGTGAAATCAGAAAAAAACCTTAGATTTCACTATTTTTTTTTAAAAAAGAACACCTATAATTACTTCCCATCCTACAGCTACAGTTAAACCAACTAACGAAAATAATCAACCTATTTTTGACAAACAAAAGTTAGGCTAGAATATGTGGCAACAATCAAAGTTCATATATGTTTCTATGTAAAATGACTCATGATTTACTATAACATAAAGTATGAACAAGAGCACTTTGTGACTAATGAAAGAGCTACTAGTAGAAACAATTAACAGTCTTCAGCCCTCCTTTAAGTCGTATCTCCAAATCAGTATTGACTTCTTTTGACCAGATACATCATTTTTGGCTTGTCACCCCAGTATGTCATGTTTTACCACTTGCCACAGGCAGCAGGAGACAACTAGCTGAGCAAACTACAAGCAGTGACATGCAGAAATTAACTCTCACATCTGAGTACTTAGATAAAATGATATGCAAGCGCACACTAGGACAAAAGGAATGGCATTCGTCATCCAAACAGGCTCATCATCCCTCCCCACCCCCCCGAACAGTAGTTGCAACAGCAATAGAAAAAAGATCAAGAAGATGTCTGTTCTTCAGAGTCAACTGTGGAAAAAAGTCAGCAATATATAACAGCAGCGATGGACAAGGAAGAGCAAAGTGAAAGAATCTTGTTGAATATTTGTTCATTTACTTTTTCTGAACACAAGCCAAAGTGTGCCACACCGGCTTGTTCTGAACTTCAGATACAGATGTCCTAATCTCCTTAGATCCTTCACAGATTTAGAATTCAGTCTCCCTGAGGCCCCTATAACCAAGTAAGAAAACTCTCTTTATCTAGCTTGGTGGCTGCCAAGACAGATTCCATGTCGTTAAGGATGTCAGAGCTCAAAGCTTCTTGCAGACTTGGCATCAGTTCTTCTCCTTCTATATTCATCCCATCTCCTTCCAGTGTCCCAAGGTCCACATTTGTCCCTGGAATGGCTTCAAGGTAGTCTGGGAAACGGTTCTGATGGGACGGTATGTTGCTTTGGCTGATACTGTCACCTAGTTATAACACAGAGCAAGATGATATCAAATATACTGGAAGTAGCAGTTTATCAGGACAACTTGTTAAAGGTTAATCCCCTACGTCTTGCATCACACAAGCAACATGATTCATAGAAATCCCTCACAAAACCCAAAGATGACTTGACTCCATGCAGATGTACAAAGAACATGCCTTTCTTTCGACCTTTTCACCTACTGACCCAAATCTGTACATATCTTTGAGGTCAATTAGCATATTTTTCCTTTTTATGCTTAAATGAAAGAGATAATACAGAGTCAAATATTGTTTTGGAGGAGTAATTAGTAACACAGGATGAGGTACTACTCTTAGCTCTGAACAAAAAGTATTACTTAAAAAAGCAAATGGATGTTCAAATTTCTTGTAACAACACATGTATTTATGAGCAATCCTCCCAATAGAGTGATTATACATACGTTGTTCACAAATCTAACCATAAGATCTGTATTACAGAAATAGAAGAAGGTAGGAAAAACAATTTGAAAAGCATCACAGGTTCTCAGAATCGCTTGTTTTCATTGCAAATGGACACAAGCATATTTGGAAAACATGCATTAGGGATGTATGCAAACACAGACCTGTATCCATCTCATCAACACTGTTCAGGAAGTCATCGGGGGTTCTGGGTACACTATAACTGCTCATGCTAAGTCCACTATCTGTGCTTTCATCTCTGGAGTGATATGTTCCGCTGTAACAGAAGAAAGAGAGAGAGTACTGAAGAAATGAAAATACATGCTTGTTTTTTGAACCAGTTCAAGGGCTTTGAAAACATTGCTGTCACCAGAAATGTCCTATCCAATCAAAAACTGAAGCCTTTGTCTGTGCAAGGCACCAGGGGTTTATTTTATGCAGACCTTTTCCAACTAAACCCGTGTTATTTAGATCCAGTTTAACTTGATGAGAGCATACTTGAACAGCTTAAAAAACCTGCCTACCTGTATTCTGCATAGTTTTAAACTTCTCACACACACCCACAGCTAAAAAACACTGGAAGCATATCATAATGAATACGAAAATAATAGTCGTACCCTTTCACACTCCTGCAAGGATAAAAATAATATTTCTAACTACTAATGTGCCATGTTTAATCAACCGCTGATGTGTATTTTTAGGTTTGTGCTGTTATAAATAGGAGCTATAACTGGAACTCCTTTAGAAATTCTTCAATTGCTTCCCACTGCTGCATTACCAGTAGTTCAGTCATACATGTCAAGAGAGTGCCCTAATATAAATCAAATACTGGTACAGAAGCCATCCTGTAAACAAACTCTGTTCAGAATGATCTTGTTGACAGACCAGTTAACAAAAGAGCGCGGGCAGCCGTGGGGCCCTACACGCATTCGCTTTCTTACTGCCATTGTACCGCCAGTGCAGCGAGCAAGGCCAAGAAAGCTGCAGTGGGACGTGTGTGTGGGGGTGTGGGGGTGTGGGGGTGTGGGAGTGTGT